GCCATGTTTGGAATTTGATAATTTTACATTGATAAAATTAATTGAAAACTTTTAGAATTAATTTAATGGTTCGTTTTACGTGACATTTGTTACAGTCACGATATAATCGAATAATAGTGTAATACTGATAATCTCACAATCAGTACTACTTCTAAAATAGTATATTACTTATATTGTAAATCAATCCCAATCATTCGGCTTAACAGTGAACATATATCATTTCATATTAAATAATTAACCTGTTAATTGGAAAAAATAATTTAATTCAAGTACTATAGACAAAATAATTTGTTTATCTAAGAATTTTTTTCATTTTTCAATTGCTTTATATTTAATTCTCTATAATCAGAATTTTTTCCAAATATTAACAAACATTGGCATAAAAGTGATTAAAAAATAACTAGATATTAGTTACGATTTTTATCTGTTATTCTTAAATTTAATTTAATAACAATCAAATAGAATATCAATTGGTTGTGATTATGCCAAACATAATTAAAATAACATAGTAGAATTAATTTTTCAACAATTTTTTCTTTTGTTAATTTTTATTATATTATACAGTAATACTTATTTAAAAATTTGTATACTAATCTCGTTTTCTTTCCAAATTTAATCCCATAATTTTATTTACTTATAATAAGATATAATAAGAAACTTAAAAAAGTTTCAACATCAAAATTAAAATATAAAAAAAAGAAATATTAGATGCATATTAACTATTATTACCTTTATTATTTTTATTATTATTACCTTTATTATTTTATTATTTATATTTATTATTATTTTTAAACCTGAAAAATAAACAACAACATCACAATTATAATTGGTACAAACGATTCAAAGAATGTAATAAAATTAATTTTTCATCAAGAATAATTCAATCAAATCAATAAGATCAAGATTAACTCCTCGAAACGTTAATAATATTTCCTACATTTTTTCTTAATTTCCATGGTATCGTCACAAAATCATTTATTTTAAAAATACTCGATCGTTAAGCAATCGTTAAACAATCCGGTCTTGCAGATTTCGTGACGGGCGTAAAAACAGCCAATTGAAATAACGAATGACTAAGCGTATATATCCTTGCGTTATAATCGGATCGGATTTGCCACGAGCCACGGTTTTCGTGCGGTTTTCCATCGATATAGTGTCCGATTAAATTTTCACCGTATCTTCCTGTTGCTCCAGATCCTCGCATCTATATGGTCGAAATAGATTGCCAGTAACCGACCTCGTCGTTTTATTTTCTCCTCGCATTTTCACTTCGCGTTACCGCGAAAATTCCCGGTTTTTATCGGTTCTATCTTTTTTTATTTTTATTATTACTTTTGTTTTGTTTTTTTTGTTTTTTTGTTTTCTTTTTTTTTTTTTTTTTTAGTTTCGAGAAATAAACTGTGGTACGTTTTGATCGATTATCCGTTTCTTCGATGGATGAAATACGTTTCGAGGATAATTTGAGAGCAGCGAGACGTATTGGAATTCGAGCTTCGGTCACTCTGTGTTGAGATTAAAATGTTATGTTTCGTATATATTTCGAATTTCGTAATTCGAAGATGTAACATGCGATGTGACGATGTATTAGGATATAATCTGCGATTAATTACAGTTTTATGATAAAATTGCGTATATTTATTTAAAATATAAAAATTATTTTATTATATTTTTGTAGTTTTCATTATTGAAAAAAATTTTGATTTCTTATAAATTGTTCAACTTTTTTAGGGATACTATATTTTCAAAACGGTGATTAGCAAATAAAATAAAATATCAGTGCTTTTTTTTTTATTTATTATAAAAGATTCTGTGAAAAAGAAGAGAAAAAGAAAATTCAAAAAATTTTAATTCCCTCTTTTTTTTTTTACTTAGAATAATTTTAATTTAAAAAAAAACTAAATGTATATATATATATTAATATCCTTAAGAAGAAATTTCGGATTTGGAAAAAATTATTATTAAAATTTTTTTTATTAAAAATAAACGAAATAGAAATCTGCAATTTTCGATATTTATTAATATATTTTTTCAATGTATAAAAATCGTATAATTTTTAAATGTATCTAAATAATATGCGTTATATTTCGTAATTTTCTCTGTAAATGATGGGATGTCTAGATTTTTTGGTTTTAAATTTAAATGAAAAAATGAACATATTTTTATTACATTTTCGTGGAGTGAATTTGAAAAAATTTTTTTAAAATTTTCATATTCTTTTTCTGATGCTTTAAATTTAAATTTAAACAACATTTTAATTAAATATTTTAATTAAATATTGCTTAATTGAATAATATTTTTCTTTTTTTTCACTTTCAATTCTATATTTTAAATTAATAAATTTAGACAAATTTAAAATTCATTGCCCGCAAAAAAATATTTTATTTAATTTGAAAATTCACTCAAATTTATAGTTTTAACAGTTATAGTTTTAGATTAATTAGTTTTTGACATATTTATTCTATCAATTTGAAAAATCTATTTCGATTTTAATATAATTAGATTAGTAAAATTTTTAATAATTAGATTAATATAATTAGTAATATAATTAGAGATTTAATATAATTTTGTGAATTTTTAAAATTTCGAAAATTTAAAAAATTTTCTTTAATTACGTATTTTTTAAAAGTAAAAAAAAAAACGAAAATATAAAAAAGAAAAAATCAATCTTTTGAAAGTTCTAGAATGAAATTTTTTTTTAAAAGCATCGTTATCGCGAAAAATTTTCTCTTGCAAAATTTTGATCAAAGGATTTACGTTTTTTACAAAATACGATTTATATCTGATTAATTGTTCTAGTATATTAAAAAATTATATGACTTTCTTTTTCTATTAGTACTTCAGACAGATTAAATTAATAATTGAACAAATATATAGAAAACAAATATACTGTTATAAATATACATTTGAAAATAATGTATTAAATAATAAATATAAAATCTAAATTTATAATATAGATTATTATATTTATAATTCTACAAAGTTCTGAAATGTGAAATTATTAAAAATTACAATTTATTTATGGATAATTTAATATTATTTTTCGATTAAAATGAAAATATATGTTACAATACAAATTTTATATTATTCATTTATTATAAAAAAATAGTACATTTTGTTTGAATTATTTCTAAATAAAAATTTCTATTACAGATACTATTCCAAATTTTCGAGAAAAGCTTTTATTTGAATGAGCTTTATGTCTTAATGATATTAAATGATTTGTATACGATTCATGCTACATTAAAAATCATATGTAATGGGAAAAGAATTTTTCAGAATTTACATTGATCAGATTTATGAGAAACATTATTATTAATTAATCATCAATTATATAATTTATCATTAAATTGATCAATTAATAATTCTTATATCCTCCTGATTTTAATAATTTTCTTTTATCATAAAAATAAAAAATCTGTATAGATTTAAAAATCTTCTAACAAGAGGATAATCTTAAATTGTAAATTTTACCTCGAATAAAAAGACGCGTATTAAGGATTAAACAGGATCGAAGTTATTATTCACACTGTGCATTATTATAACGTCTCATTGGAGAAAATTCTTCACTGAATTCCACCTCGTCTAACAACAATTTCAAGCGATTAAACTTAAGGTGCACTAATTACACTGAGCCTCGAAATTCACTGGAATCACCTATAAGAACGGTCTTTATGCACGAAAGTGTTCAACCCATTAACGACTCCAATCTCTTAGCCACGAAGCCCTCTAAGAACTTGATTCGCACAGAGACACTTCATCCATTTTCAGATTATCCTTATAGCATTAATTCACCACCGAATTTCGCCTCACAGATACCCTTAATCGTCTCTTTATCCTCGTCGATGTGTCAGAAATGTCAATACGATTACATCGAATGATCATCGAATAAATCGAACAAGTTTGAGAGGTTTGATAATAAAATCTGGAAACTCGTAGTGATAAAATTGTTGTGTATTTAATTACTGAATTTCACTTTTTGCGATTATCTTTTTGATATCTTCTTTAAGAATATGTCAATAATTTTGAAAATGGCTTTCTGTAAAATGGTCTTCGAATTTGTCGTCATATATAGTTAATCAAATTGTCTTTTCAAGGAAGTTTTTACTCATCTTTCATCTTTCATCTAGTTCTCCAATAATCTGTTCCCTAAAAGAGCTAAAAGAAATATTGAAAGGAAAGCATTTTCACGACCTTAACTTTATTTTATAATAAATTCTAAAAGTTATATAAAATAAGTTTCATATATTAAATATGTAATTGATAAAATTTATTGGTCATTAACAAGTTGCAGAATTTCCAAAAATTTTGATGATAAAAGAATTATTTTCTAAATGATTATTTTCTCTATTTCTTTCAAAGAATTAATGACAAGAAAGAATAATGTTATATACCTACTTTGAATTCAGCAATGAAATGTACAGCATAAAACCTCCATTATCCAAATTGCATCTTATCTCTACTCACAACGAAACAAACATATTACAGAGAAAATAAAATATTGACGTTGGAAACTTTCATATAATATACTCGTATATTATATGAAACAGGATCGAAAATAATTAACAAATTAAAAAAAAAAAAAAAAAAAAAACGATCAAACACACATCGCCATCAAAGAGCAGAAAAGAAGAGAAACTTTACATTTCATGATGAAAAACTATCCTTTATCCGATTATCTCAATTCCATTACAAATAAGAATATTATTTTTCACGAAATAGATATAGAATAATACATCTAAGAAAATTATCCTCTCCTGTTTACCTGTCAGTTCAAAACAATGGAGGTCCCTTTCTTACATTTAATAATAGCACACGAGTTCACCAACTTTATTATCAGCTTTCGTGTATATATATGTATATATATATATATACGGATCTCCATATATATCGATACAGATTAATCGTGTGGGAAGGGTGTGTGCTCCTTGCCTCGAGGGCAGCCAACGCTTTCAGCGATCGTACAATATCACAGCATCTGTGTGTGTTTCTCGTGTGCATAGGTTACTCGGATTGTCACCGGAACTGGGACAACGGGTGCACTTCGCGGAGGGCACGAACTTACGGTGCCGCGAAGATAAGAAATCGCCGACCAATGATGATGAGGAAAGGTTGGCAACAATGGATGGCTCTCTTCCGCCGATTCTCATCTCTGACGATGATACTCGTGCGGAGGGGTTGCGAATGGTGTGAAAATAACGAATATATTGTATAAAGTGGTGGAAGAAAAATGTTTAGAGAGAGTGGGACGAAAGGGATGAAAGATGCTTGAAAGTAGGAAAAAAATTTGTGTATGAATATTCGTGGTAGTAAATGGTTAGAGATTGGTTAGAAAAAGGATGAAAGATGCTTATGTAGGGTGCTTATCTAGATAATTAAATACAGCTTTCTTCCGAATAATGTGAATGAAAGATAGTTGGATTTTATTTTTAATAATTAAATTAATGTGTATGTTAATATATAAATTATATATATATATATATATATATATTATATTTAGAGTTGAATAATATGAAGTAATATTTATCAGAAAATATATAATCGGTTAAAGAAATATTTTTCATTTTCATATATTGGTTTATTTAAATTATTGGTCAGATTAAATTATATTTTATTTAAATTATATTTTATTTTATTGTATAATTTAATTCAAATTGACTAAGAGAACAACATTTTTGTAGAAAATATTATATTTTTTACATATATTATTTGTAGATTATAATTTGAAAATTTGAAAATCTTTATAAAAGTAAATCTCTTGTAGAGATATGAGAATAATTTTTTTTCAATTTTGTATCGAACGTTAATTTATTGTATAGAAAGTGGTGGAAAAAATAAATTTAAATAAAATTTGAAATAAATTTTGAAACGACATTAGTTTTTTTCAATGCTAATTAAAAATTTGTATTTATAGTACGTATATCAATGATGCAATCTATAAGATATAATAAAAGAGTTTATATCAGTTCCATGTAAGTATCAATAACTCATAGATAATAAGATTTCAAGATAAAAAAAATAATAGAAAGTGAGATAATGTTAACAATAGAAAATATATTATAGCTATTATTCTAAGAAAGTGCTTTCTCTTTCTTTTGATTTTTTTTTTTTTTGAACGCAGATACTTAATGTTTTTAATACTTTTAATACTTTCAAACGTTTTATTAATTTGCGATTAAAGTTTAAAAATATGATTGAGTGATCCATAAAGGTATTAATAAATATAATAAGCAATATTATCATTTGTTTTACTTGTAAATGAAAAATTGCATTGTGTAATGCATTGTATATCAGTTTAAAGCACATAAAAAATGTATTAGAAAATGATTTATATGTTTATCATAATTATGATATAAAATAATTCTTAATTTAGTGTAATTTTTTAGTATTTTTTTTTTACATATTACAAGATTATTTTTGTTTAATTTTATTTATCATTACAATTTTCAATAAATACTTTAATTTTATAACTTTGCCAGAATACGGATAACTTCAATTTGTTTCCTCTACTTTTTAACAATAATTACTCGTCATAAAGGTATAACTCAATCGTATCAAATAATCGCATAAAATTATAAAAAATTTTAATTGCACAATCATCCATTCATCCAATCAATGAAAGGATTAATCATAATTTCTTTCCCTTTTTACCCTTTTTACTCAACATCGAAAAAGAAGGGAATTTAATTATTTTTTTTTCAAACATCCTGTATATCTACGCGCACGCGCGTTGACAATTTTATCCCACGTCACGTAGACCGCAAATAGCGAGCAGAATCGCTTAGATATTCGATTAAGTGCAATTACGAAAGAGGCAGAGGGAAATGATTCACATGGGGTGGAAACGTTTCACGCTTCTGCAATTTCACCGGTTGCAACGTCATCATGATTGGAACGTTCAGATAAATATCGTGATCGTTGTTTTATCGGGGCAAAATGAGAGAAAAAAAAAAAAAAAATCGCATTTGCGAACAAGGGGTTGGAATTATCGATTGGGGACGAGCCGTTGAAAGATTTTCGACCGCGATACAAGCGCGGTCAACGAGTGCAGGTTAATTGCATGGGATTACTAATAGAGATAAAAACGTTTTGAGTTGATCTGAACTGTTTGTACTTAAGTGAATCGTTTTCGTTTATATATGTATCGAATTAGTGGTATGAAAGAAATTGGTTTTGAATGAAAAGATAAATTGAAAATGCAAATTTTTTTATCTTTTTTTTTTAGGAAAAGAATGTTTTTTTTAATACTGGAATTGTCATTTATTGAATTGTATTTAAAAAAAATTTCATGAAATATATATATATGTAATATTAATTTTCAAAAATATTTTCATAATCGTTTTCAATAATCGTAAAACAAAAAAATATGAATGCATCATTTTAATTGTTCAAGGAAAAAATAACTTAATTTCAAAATAAATTAATTTAAGAAATTTCTAATAAATTTCTAATAAATTTATTAATACAGTACATGGACTATATCAAAATATCTATTTAATAAAATATACAATATACAAATATACAACATCTATTTAATAAAATATACAAGATTAAAGTAATATTTAAATTACTGGATATCTATAGAAATCTAGAATTAAAAAAAAATTATATAATGGATTAAAAAATTTCATGTTTATATCAAAGGACCAAATTTAATTTTAACAGGGCAACATAAAATCTGATGTAAAATATTTTTCATATTTAATGAAAATTTCTCTTCTTAAATATATTTTTTTTTTCTTTCATGCAACATTTAAACTAATCATGCATGCATGAAAATATTGTGTACAAACCTTATGTGTAATAGTTTACTATAATGTTTCATGACGATTGAAAATAAAATAAGATATCAGTGATTACAATGATTTAATCATGAAACTATTTGCAACTGTAATAATATTTATGATTAAATTATTCTGAGTATGTTAACAATACTAGTAGGAAAGCTTATGTAGCTTTGCCTTTCTTCTCTTTCAATACAATATATGGATATCGTTCCTTATTCTTCATCTATGTTTAAATAGATATGAATAAAATATACGTAGATGGTCTCAGTGGGCTATCAAGAATTTCTTTGATAAATCTAGCTTCTATTCTTAATGATCCTTGTTCTTTTAAGATCCTCTTATATCTATCGTTCCTTTTAAAACTGCATGAAAAAATAATGAAAACATTCTTCTAACTATACAGGATTATTTATTATAACATTTCTTTTTTCTTTAAAAGAATCTATATTTTTTTTTACATAATAACATGATAATGATAAATATTTTTTGAAATGGTTTTAATTGTGTAGTTATATATATTATTTATATAATAATATAGAATAAATTAAATCTAATAGTTTTTCTAAAGTTTAAATGTCAAATTTTTAATTTTTGTCAAAGATTTTATTAATCAAATTTATCTTGATTAATTAAAAATTATCAACCAATTTTAAATTTCTTGGAAATTTTTAAATTGTACAAAATATTTTCTTATATAATAATAAAAAAATTTCAAACATTCAAGTCTGTTAAAATATCCTACTAATTGTACTAATTAAAAATATTCATAATCATTTTCATGTAATTAATTTTAAAAAATTCTTTATTATTGATCATGATTTTGAAAAAAAAAATTTTTTTCCTATGTTGTCTTTTGACTTGAATTTTTCTCGGATTCAAACGAACTTAGTTAGTTACCTAGTACAATCGAGTTTGTAACATCCACGTTTACAGAACCATCTGAATGAATGATAGAGAATGGTTGAAAACTATAGGTATTTCTCTCTTTTTTTGCAAGAGAATGGAAGATCAAAATTCAATTCTTCAATTTGTTCTCATTTGTATTTATACTACGAGAATCAAATAGAAACAAAGAATTTCCAAAGTCATTAAATTCAGTCAAACATTCAACAAAGAGGCAAAAATTAAATTATTTCGATCGATAAATTTAATATGTAATTATACTCTTAATTTAATTAATCTATTATTGATCAAGTAAATTATTCGAAGTAGAAAAAATTTAAAATATCATTTATCGATTTTACAAGTGTTAAAAATCGTGTTCTTGTTTCGAGTTAATGTAACTGTACATTGAAATGTGTAAAATAAAAATTTTTTAAAATATTATAAATAACTGTAATTATTTTCTATCAGTCTCAATAATAAAGATAATAAAGATTAAAAAGATTGAAAATTTAAAAAAATTTTTAATATAAAATAAGAAATTAATATTATATATTTTTATTAAAAATTTTGTCAATAAATATCTTTGAAAAAAATGAAAATCACTTTCTCAGTTATAAATACTTATTTATATTGAATCTTTGACTAATTTTATTAATTCGAAATTATATTTTAATATTCTTAATATATTTCTTAATAATTTAATTCTTTCTTTATTATTCGAGATATATCGGAATCGAAACTTTAATCGCTTTGAATTAAACACCTATTATCGATTATAGAATTTGATTACTGCGATCGAAAATGGTTGATGATTAACATTTCATTTGATAGGGTAAGAATTGATTCGATTATTCAGGATGACAGAGGATTCGCATTATTGTAAATGCGAGTATTAATTTCTCATTAAATTATGTCAAGACACTCGCTCGAGAATGGAGCTTGTTGAAATTTCAGATTTCAACATTCGAACTGTGCATTTATCACGATACTGTCGAATCGACAATGTCAGATCGGGATTAATTATTAGAACAGACATAATAGAAGTCATCGCGTTCATTACAGATGGTTGGTACGCTTAATTAAATTTTAATCTTAATTATGAATAATTGAATAAATTTTTTATGTTGCTATATATTTTTTATGTTTGCTATACATATTCACGTTTATGTATAACATTTACTAGAATTTATTAATGATTAATGAATAATTAATAATTAAATATATTTTCTCTGTTTATTATATAGTACCTACTTGATATATAAGATGTCCTTGAATTCATGATATAAATGATTGATGGTAATGCAAAAATAATTTTAAAAAAAAATACATTCTTTTAAAGATTTTGTTTTCAAATAAATCAAATTGACAAGTGAAATTGGCTGATTTTTGATTGAATACAAATGAATTATCGATGGATGATTATTCTATATATAGAAATAAGTAAAAAATATAAAATAAAATTTTATCTTATGTCTTTTTTTTTTATGAAAATTGAAATTGAATATTTACTGTCAAAAAATTAAACAATGAATTTTCAAAAAGTAATTGAAAAAAATTTATTCCAATTCTTTTTTTCATGTAAAATTACTTTTTACACTTTGATAATTTATTTATATTTAATTGAAAATTTCATTTGTATTTGAAAAATTTTATAAACTATGAAAGTTTATAAATTGTGAAACTATAAATTATATGAAGCATTGAATAATAAATTTACTTATTATTTGTAATAATAAAAGATGATCAATTTTGAATTTTATTATTATTTAAAAATTTTGGAATTATTTAACACACCTTTATTCTTATTTATGTCGACAATTCTAATTATATAATTCTAATTATATC